AGGAACCTGAGAACTGGGAGCCCTTCAGCTCTGGACCACTTGGCCTGGTTCAAGTTCCGAGTGCTCTAGGTCTGTGTGTAAACTAAAGCAGCGTGTGAACCACGGGTTTGACCACACACTGATCAGTCAACGTCAGACTGTGTATTCTACGACGAAGGATGTTTTCACTTCACCACAAATTAGTGCTGATGATGATGATTTTTTTCTGCTGTTTTCTAAAAACAGCATCAGTGGGAAAACCTTCTTCTTTGCTGGTGTTTCTGTAGTCGCTCACAAAAAATGGCCAAACTTTTTTTTTTTTTTTTTTGGCGACATCATGTTTTTATTTTCAGAATCGGTGAAATTGAATTTATTCTTTTTTTTCCGTTTGTTCATTCCACTTCCTGTTCTCCTCTCAGGTTCCTGGAAAAAAAAAAACGCTAACAATGTATTTAAAAAAAAACAACTAATTTTCAACCCAGTTTTATCCACGTGCAAAAACACAGACAGAGCTAGAACAAAAGTTTCCTGAACTTATGGGTCCGTCTCAGACACCGACCTTTTACTTTTCCTTCTTTTGCTCTATCCTAAATTGCTTTGGCGCCCCCTAGTGGAGGCACACCACATCTTTTAAAGACTCCAAAGTTGCCTACTTTGACAGTAAGACAGACGGAGCCCATGTGACCAGCGTAGGTCCGCTAGCCGCAGATGCAGCAGCAGCAGCAGCAGCATGGCATTTGAATCCAGAGGTTTACCCCAGAGGTCAAGAGGTCATGCAGATTCAGCAGATGTTTCCAACTCCTGGGAGTTTTCTGCAAAATTTACAACAGCACATGGTGACAGTTGAGAACTTTTCAACAGTCAGTTAAAAAAAAACCCACCGCTGATGCGTCCGTCCTTCAGAATCCCGATCTTCCAATACGAATATTTCTAATCGTGGCCACGTGAGGTTCGAGCGAAATTAGTTCTCCGTCAACAACTCGGCCGTTGATTGTCGTTTTTTTTTTTATATATATATATATTAAGAAACGTAACTGTTGTGTTGAACCGGGGTCAGCTGGAGACGAAGGAGAACGTTCACACGTGAAGCTCCTCTTTAGAACCTGGGCGTGTGTGTGTGTGTGTGTGTGTGTGTGTGTGTGTGTTTTATTAGACTCAGAGTCTCCAGAGATGTAAAGTGAGTGTGGATCTGACACTGGCAGTTAATTCTGACAGTTGACGGCCCACCGACTGTTAGGCAGCTGTTTTTCTACTTGTGTGTGTGTTGTTTTTTTTTTTTGTTTTTTGTTTTTTTTTTTTCCACAGCCATAACTGTGTTTCTTCCTCTGTGGATGATTTAACATATGCTCCCTTCTCATCTCCTTTCCTCCTTCCTTCCCTCTCCTCAGCTGTCACCTGAGTTTTTATTCTTTCTTCATCTTTCTCTTCTTTAATCCCTCCCTCTCTTCCTCCCTCCCCCTCCCTCCTCCCATGTTTCTCCTTCCAAACCAATCGTGTTATTACAACCATCACATGCGAACCATAAAATCATAATTTGGCAAAAGTTTGTTTTTCTCCTCGAAGCGAGGGAAGGTTTTGGTCATGACACTTTCACATCTGGTATTTTTTAAAAGCTCGCAATTTATGAACTTGTGTTTTTCTTCTTCTTTTCCTTTTTTTTTTTTTTTTGGACAAATTGAGTGGAATCAGACACAACAGACACCCCCAAAAAATATTGGGCGTGTGATGTGATAATAAAACAGACACACATATAAAAACCGCACATGTGAGCTGAAGGAAACTACAGAACAACACATAAGTCATTCAGCTGCGACTCATTTATGAATGTTGGAGTTGGAAAGTACCCGATATCACTGCAGCTGCACACACACACACACACACACACACCTACTTCTTTAATCTTACTACTCCTCCGTCTTCCGTCCAATGACAGACTCGTACACAGTAACTCTCGGTCCAAACAAGGACCAAAGACACATGTTGAGCACAGACTCCGTGGTTCAGAAGTTTTGTTTGTTTTACCTAAAAAAAAAATATATATAATAAACGTTGAGTTGTTTTTATTCAGCATAAATTCGGAAAATATCGTGACGTCAAAAAAGTTAAAGTTGTTGAGGTTCACAGTATTTTTCAAACTGGAGCTGCGGTTCCAAAATTAACGCGTTAATCGCGGTAATTAAAGTTGTTAAGATTACACGGATTTATCAGAAGCGGACTCTTCAACGTTCGGTCAATCACGTCACACCAGTAGAGGGCAGTAAATCGGACTAGGACTGACTCGTTAATGATGATTAATCCATCCGTTCATCCATCCATTTTCGCCTTACCCGTTAGCGGGTCGTGGGGGCAGCAGTCGCCACGACCTCCACCCAAATCACACTGCACCGTACCAGACCCTCGTGAACCTTCCTGCGGGTGGTCAGTCCACTAGGAGGCGCCAACCGCCCAGGAGGTGAACCCTGGGTTTCCACACCAACGACAGAGACGTTGACTCTGGGCCAAAGCGCCAAAATAATCATCTATTGCCCTGGTCTTATTTTACTCTAATGCTAATGCTAGTGCTAACAGCTAATGGTTGGACCCGCGGAGGACAACCGTCTGATTCTAAAACCAGGTGTAGCTACAGCACGAAGCTCATCTGCTAAAACTCAACAAAGAACACACATTCCCACTCTGGCAGTTTTCCAGAACAGAGGATCCGTCCCCGTCGAGCTGCCGTGGCTACGGCCGAGCGCTCTGATTTAAGAGAAGCTCCACAGCAGCTGAGTGAGGGAGACGTGGATGTGTTTTTTTTTTTTCTTTCACTAACAGTTTCTTCCCAGTCGGCGTCTGAGCTGACATCCGCTCAGTCACAGGGCGAGGAGTCTCGCTCAGGCTCCGGGAGATCGCGCTGCCAGTCGCTTCATTATTTTTCCAAAACCCCGAGAAAAGCCTACAAAATGTCACCTAATGGGACGTCAGACTCACTCTGGTGCAGTCAGTCAGTCAGCCCCCCCCACCCCNNNNCCCACGGAGTGACGCAGATGTTACAGCTGTGTCTGTAGAAGTGCAGCAGCAGGAAACTGCAGCGTGGACACCTGTAATCTGTGTTTGGGTTTTATACCTGGGCTCCTGACGTGCCGTCCATCACTGGGTCGTTTCAGGTCAAGATGTTCCGTTAGTCGACGCGACACTGACTCTGTTATTAGACTTCGCACAAATGTAACCAATGGGAACAGATCGGGAGATTAGAAGATTTTTTTTTTCCACTTTATGTTTTCAAAATATTATTACAAATGCAATGCAACATGACCATGCTTATTCTAATGATTTTTTTAAAGAACAATTTAAACTGCTGTTGTGTTTGCGAGGCCTCTGAGCGATTATTGCTTAATGATTACAGAAGGGAGGTCACAGGGGAACAGGTTCAATCCTTTATGTCTTTATGTACTAATTATATGTCCAAAAACATAAAAGACTGGGTTGTTTAGACACTGTGGTACAATAGCTGTTAGTGTGAATGGCTCTCTGTATCATCCATTGACCAATGAGATTGGCTCTAGCTCGCCCTGCGACCCTGAAAAGAATTAAGCAACAGAAGATGAATGACTTTTTTTTTTTTTTTTTCAGGCATCGCAAAACCTCCGTTTTCTTTGTTCTTTACATAATAACTACGAGTAAAACATGCACAGCCAGGCCTCGTGTTAACCTGCTTATGTTGCAGAGTATTTGAAATCATATTTTGAGCATATGAAAAGACTAATATTAGAAGAAGCAACTTTTTTTTGCATATGAAAAGACTAATATTAGAAGAACTTTTTTTTCCCCCTCAAAAAACATTTTAATTCATGTCTCTTTAGCAAAGATTAAATTATATTTGTAAATAATTCCTTTTTTGACCAAACCGGATGAAAATCCTCGACTGTAAACATTGTTTGTATCTTAATGTTCCTTTGAAGAATAAACCGAGGGGGAAAATACTTCAGATTGACGCGACAAATTAAACATGAAGTCCCACAGGAAACGCTGCCTATTTTTGATTGTTGTATTTTTCAGAGACTGACGGAAACAAAGAGTCGGTTTTCTCTTTCCCATCGATTCTCCCCGGTCGGTCTTTACGTGTCCGTCTACTGTATTCTACATGATATGACACCGCTGGGATTCTGCTGGAAATCAGCAGGATTGCTTTACACCATTTAAGAGGTTAAGGGTGCGAAAACAAAGGAGACGTTTTTAGAAGCAGCAGATGGTGGAACGGGGGAACGAAGACGAATGGAAACTTTTACCACACGTGTTTATATTTCTCTGAAGAAAAAAACAAAAAACAAAACCGAGGCGCATGAGCCACAACATTATTTTTATGACAGGAAGTGAGTGGGAAATGTGTTCAAATGCAGCTCCTAATATATTTACAATAAAAATGGATTATGGGAATTTGTAAAGTGGCCGAAGGCCGAGGAGAATTTGATTGCAGTGTTTATTATGTCAGCACTCCGGGTCACATGGCGCCAAAAGAGTGGGTGGAGACCAAAATAGAGATAAAATGAGAGTGAAGGTTGGACGTGCACTTGGGCGGACGAGGGTTAGCTCACACACTCTCCGCCAGGTCTAACACAAACGTCACAGTTTCCCTTGAAATTCTCCGGTTTTCTTTTCTTTTCTGTCCAGGAAACGAGAATTACCATCAACAAGAACCATTTTTTTCTCTTTTTTTTTTCTGTCTCTTTAATCATTTCCTCGTCTTTGTCTTCCTGTCTCCTGCAGCACTGAATGAACCGACCATCGACTACGGTTTCCAGAGGCTTCAGAAAGTCATACCTCGACACCCAGGAGACCCCGAGAGGCTGCCAAAGGTACCACGTTATCCAAGTATTACGTTCCATGTGACACTTATGGGTTTGGAGTGTCCTCGTTAGCTGCTCTGGGCATGTGCGACACCGCAGCAGCCTGGCTGTGTGTTGTCCTGACAGTTTATCATACCTGTCTAAACGGCATACGTCACCTTACGACACATGTCTGTTAAAGAAAAAACACGTTACTGACAGCCCTCACTGTTCAACTGATGACGTAGTCATGTGACGCCATCCTCAGCCCACGCCCCCTCCCTTGACCCCCCCCACTCATGGAAGAGAGTGTCTCCAGTATTTCTCCAGTATTTTTGTAAGTCTTATACATGTTTAAATAACCCTTGTGTATTGACCTCCTGTCCAGGTCTGTGTGTGTGTGTGTGTGTGTGTGTGAGCTGCTCAACCCTGGTTCGTAGGGTAGGGTGTTTGAATCCCGTCCAGATCAGATAGTCATATTTGATAATGCGTCGAACAGCTGGAGATCAGGCAGCGTGTTTAAAGGATCAGCACATGTTGACAATTAACACCAAAGGAAGAGTCGGCCTTTGAAAACAAACCGTGGTGTCGATCTGAGCGCGTGCGAGCGCCGAGACTCGGGGCATTGACCTGCTTCAACCCTGAACCCGGGCTGGGAACCTGGGTGGGCAGGGTCATGACTTTACACACAGCTGCTGTTGATTGGCTCTTCCCTGGAGGAGGGCCAGGATTGGATGTTTCTCCCGTGACACGACGGTCAGGATGCAGCGATGTCATCATCGTCGTGCGCCGACGCCCCGGCTCCTGCACACGTGTTAGCGATCATCTGAAGTCCACGGTGTCCCTCAGTGGTCTGAAGTCCACGTGTCCCTCAGAGGTCTGAAGTCCACGGTGTCCCTCAGGGGTCTGAAGTCCACGGTGTCCCTCAGAGGTCTGAAGTCCTCGGTGTCCCTCAGAGGTCTGAGGTCCACGGTGTCCCTCAGTGGTCTGAAGTCCACGGTGTCCCTCAGGGGTCTGAAGTCCACGGTGTCCCTCAGAGGTCTGAGGTCCACGGTGTCCCTCAGTGGTCTGAAGTCCACGGTGTCCCTCAGTGGTCTGAGGTCCACGGTGTCCCTCAGAGGTCTGAAGTCCTCGGTGTCCCTCAGAGGTCTGAAGTCCACGGTGTCCCTCAGTGGTCTGAGGTCCACGGTGTCCCTCAGAGGTCTGAAGTCCTCGGTGTCCCTCAGAGGTCTGAGGTCCACGGTGTCCCTCAGAGGTCTGAAGTCCACGGTGTCCAGTCTGACTGTAGAAGTGTAGCATCTAGAACTGACCTCCAGTTTGTCACTGATGAAGAAGTAATGGTTACAGATTAGTTTAGTTTAGTTTGGACTGGACTTTACTGGATTAGATTGGATTGGATTAGATTAGATTAGATTAGATTGGATTAGATTAAAGTTAGGTTAGATTAGGTTAGATTAGGTTATTTTATGTTAGATTGGACTAGATTAGATTATATTGGATTAGATTGGATTGGATTAGATTAGTTTAGATTGGTTTAGATTAAATTAGATTAGATTGTCGTTCACATGTTTCTCGCTCCAGTGTGGGCGGGACCTGTGAGTACTCTACACTACAGTACAGAGTACTCTTCAGTACAGTACAGAGTACTCTACAGTACAGAGTACTCTTCAGTACAGTACAGAGTACTCTACAGTACAGTACAGAGTACTCTACAGTACAGAGTACTCTACAGTACAGTACAGAGTCCTCCACAGTACAGTACAGAGTCGTTGTTAAACCTACAGTTATGAAGCTCTGAGACATCGCAGTAATGAGGGGCATATTTTTATTAGCTCTGTGTGTGTGTGTCAGTGTGTGTGTGTGTGTGTACTAGTAGGTAATTCATCACTGTAGCCTATAGTCGATCGAACCCACAGTCTTTATTACTGCAGCCCACCAGCGGTGTGTGTGTGTGTGTGTGTGCGTGTGCGTTAAATTGGTGCTACTTTTATTTGGCGCCACACACACACACTTGCCCGTTGTCACGAGTATTGATCAGACCTTTTATTGAAGTTATGAAGTTATCGTTCGTGGCCAGCAGACACAGACACACACACACACACACACACACACACAGACGGAGGGGCGGCCTCTGCCGACAGACAGACAGACAGACACGGACAGAGACAGACAGACTGACAGACAGACGGGGCAGTGGAGTGTATGAGAGGATTACCGACAGACAGGAGATTCTATAATTGTTCAGTGAACATTTGAAGGATTTTGAGGGCCACACACACACACACACATACACACACACACACACACACCAGAAAAGAATCAGCTGCCAGTTTGTGTCACAGTGATCTCTGCCATATGTCCCCGTGCTGTTGTCCGGACCCTGACACGGTTCCTCCTCAGACCTGGATCTTCTCGGGACTCGAACCACCTCCACATGGTCGGGTTTCTCCCAGGATCCTCCGCTCTCTCCGCTGCTGCCACTTCACCACCCGGAGAAAACGATCTGCTTCTAACTAAGGAGCAGAAATGCTCCATCTTTGATTTCACAAGAAATCAATCAAGCCTCTTGGCAGCGGAGAAAACACAGACAGAACCACAGACAGAACCACAGACAGAGGCGGGTTCTCCTGGGCTCTCTCCGCTTTTAGACCAATGAATAAAAGACGGCCTCTTGGCAGGGATCGGCCGCTCCGAGCTCCGAGCTCCGAGCTCTGCTGTGCCAGTCTCTGCTGGGACTGACCGTCATGAGAAGTTCTTCTTGACGGTTCCTACAACAAAAGAGTCTCTGAAATAGAACGGAAGAGTTTGAGTTTATTCACAATATTTTCTCACGTCTGACGTCTGATGTCGACAGATCCTGGTTTGGAAACGTTACATAACTCAGGGTGGGGGGGGGCAGTCAGAGAAGCACGACGATAGGATTCCCAACTGCCATGTGGAAGGTTTGGGGTTTGATTCCACCTAGTCCTCGGTTCCACGTTGGCCATCGACCAAATCACCGTGGTCAACCCCAACAGTTTGGACTATTATAAAGTCCTTTTCGTTAAGTGACCGACAGACAGACAGCTGGTCAACCGCAGTTTTGACCCGGTCTGTTGCCTGTCAGTACTTGTGATTTACGTCAACCTTCAGTCAACAACGTGGCTTCAAAAAAAAACCCCAAAACAACCAAGCCAAACCAGAACCTCAGTTCAAAATGATCCCCTCTCCTCCCTCGTCATCCAACAGGTCGGAGGTTTTAAACACGGTTCTTTGGAGGAACAGTCTGTCTCTGTGGTACCTTGGTGGTACCTTGGTACTTCTGCAGTACACACACTGTAGTACTGTACTTCATTAGTGACCTCTTAGCTGGTGGAAAGCCTCAGTTTTTGGGGCGGATTTTTAGCTGCTAAAATACTAAAACCACACTTAGGAATACTCCAGTTTCACACTTGGTGGTACTTGGTACTACAGTGTTTTGCCTGCTCTTGTAGTAGTAGTAGCAGTGGTAGTACTACGTCAGTCTTTGGATGGAGATTTTCCTTAATACATCTGTGTTGATAAAACAAAGGTGTGGTTTTATTATTGGTTTGATGAGAGTGAAACGACACTCGATGGAATGAACCGACACCGACGTCAAGAGGAGCTCAGTGTCGACCATGTTTTAGGCTCGGACACAGTGCACCTTTAATTGACAGTTTTTGCCTGTAGGTGCCGCCCTCGCTGTCAGATGGACCCCTCAGCTGATCGGGCCACTTGACTCGTTCTGATGTCATGTGTCCAAATGAGATCATGTCCCGGCCATGAGTAATCCTGGTGATGAGAGAAACCACAGAAACTCGCTTCACTTTCCCGACACATATCACTGTCTCACATCACCACCACCAGGAGGAGGAGGAGGAGGAGGAGGAGGAGGAGAGGAAACGTGAAACCGCACATCCGAAAACTCTCTCACAACTTATTATCATGAGCTCTTCCCCAGAGGATGTGTGTGTATCTGTGTGTGTGTGTGTGAGTATCTGTTTGTCCCCTCATCCCTGCGAGCCCTCAGTGTAAAGTATGACATCATCTGCGCGAGGTGTGACCCTGTGTGTACGGCGTCTCTAATGGGACATTAGAGGAGGATCAGGCGACTCATGTACCAGCGTTAAAGACGCCCGGGTCGTGTTGGCGTGTGTGTGTGTGTGTGTGTGTGTGTGTGTGTGTGTGAGACCCCTCAAAGTGTCAGCTCAGCATTTTTGGCTCCTAATGCTCACTACATGGCTCGGTGTGTGTGTGTGTGTGTGTGTGTGTGATGTATGGTTACCACATTAGAGATGGTCATAACTCAGCACCTAAAGACCCGTCCTGTTGTTCTTCCTCTCTCCTCCAACAGATCTATTTTTTTTTCTTTTGTTTTTTTGGGGTTTTTTTTGGCCTCTAACTTCTATTCCTGTTTTAAAAAAAAAACATAATTAAAACTACAGGTCGTTTAATGACCAGATTCACAATCATCAGATTCAGGTACAGACTCAAAAATACTAGAAAAAAAAAAATCAAACGTATTTATTTATTGACAGCATGAACGATAAAGTAAAGGACAGACTCAAAAATACAAGAAAAAAAAATACAATTCAAAAGAATTTATTTATTATTAGTATTCTTCTGCACAAATGTTTATTCTCAAAACCACGATGGAACCCTGGCCTCTGGCTGTGGACTGAGGCTAGCTTTAGCTTTAGCTTTAGCCTCTTCAAACTGGTTCAAACCGGTCTTGTTTTCATCTGAGTGATGCTGTTCTAAGTGTCAGATTAGCTCGGAGTTTTCTTGGCTCACTGCAACATTCTTCTTAGCTAACAACACGTTAGCTTCAATCCACGAATCGGACGCTCGCCGATCTTTCTGATTCCGATCATTGGCAGCTTTAGGCAGATTAGTGCGTCTGGAAAAAAAAAAAATACCAGAAAGAAACAGTCATTTTTTTGGGATGCTCCTAACGAGGAAATAAGATTACAAACGTTGGCGTAAACATGCGTCAGGAAAATTGTTGTTAAAATTCACCGATGATGTCACGCTCAGCGACCGCTGGATTCTTGCGGACTCTTTGATCGTCATCTCTTGTAACGAGATCCTTGACGAGGAATTAGGGCAGGAGGTCACGTGACCAAAACGACGCTGCTCCGTTCTTATTTACAGGAGCAACCTGAGAGAGATGAATACGACGAGGTGAGTCGCTGCTCGTCCAATCACGGAGGAGATAAACAGGCAGAGTATTCACAGAGCATCGATCGCAGCAGTCGGAGGCTGAGAGCGATGTCGAGCCGCTGACCTGATGATGATGATGATGATGATGATGATGATGATGATGATGATGATGATGTTACCACAGGATCATCTTTCCTTCCCGTTTATCAGCTACCGTTTTACTGGAACCGCTCGAACATCCAGGATCAGGTTTCCCGGGTTGTTGGTGTGTGTGTGTGTGTTTAAGTGTGTGTGTGTGTGTTTTTTCCTGTGCGCTCACCAGTGTAGTAATGAGAGGTTAACAGAGAGCCAGTCTGGCTGTAATAACGTGTTAAAGATTGAATTTAGCACCATGGACAGGAAGGACTGAAACTGCTGACTGGCTGTGTGACCTCACACACACACACACACACACACACACACTGATGGAGAAGCAATATGTTCCACCCCACACAAAATCACAGCAGAGCGCTCATGCAGCCAACCATCAGGGTGTGTGTATCGGTGTGTGTGTGTGTATCGGTGTGTGTGTGTGTGTGTGTGTCACACAGCGCAGGTTAATACTGTGAAGCACAGAGTCATTTTCCCCCCGTGTCGCCGCTGTGGAAACGACAACACATTAACTGTTAAACAAGACACCTTAGACCTCAGGGTGGGAGGGGAGTGGGCGGGGGAGGAAGAGGAGGAGGAGGAGGAGGAGGAGGGGGGAAGAAACAATAAAGACTGAGATGATGAAGAGAGAGAGAGAGAGAGAGAGAGTGGGTGGAGAAGATGAAGAGTGTGGATGTGGAGGCAGGAGGAGAAGGAGGAGGAGGAGGAGGAGGAGGAAGAGGACTGTGACGACGGAAACCTCACTTTAACATAGTCTACGTCTCAGTACTCGATATGAAGTACTGCTGTGTAGTATTCTTTGGAGTACACTCCTCATTTCCACGGCGTGATGTTTAGAAATATACTTACAGACAGTGATGCCTTCACTGTCCTGGGAAAAAAGTGTTTCATAGAGCAGTGAAGTGAAGGGATCGGGCTGCTAATGTTTTATGTTACTGTTTTCAAGCGCATACTGCCACCTACTGTACTGGTGTGTGTACTGCCATGGTGTGACCAGTGACTTTTTGAGATAACAGCAGATTTCTTTCACCTTGATTTTTTTTTTTTTTTACCAAATTTGCATCATTACATCCCAGGTCACGACCTTTTCCTTCTTTTCCACAAACACCTTAATACGCCATCAATGAAGAAAAAGAAAAAAAAATCGATGGCGTGTCTTGATTTTTCCACCTGTGTCCGTTTCACATGTCCAGTCTACGACACTGTGGCATCGACAGAGCCCACGTGGGAACAGCGTGATCCAATATGAGGCACGAGGCACAGGAACCTAAGCAGCACTTTAGATGCACACTGGAGTACTGCGCGTCTTTAAGTACCTGTCAGTCGGAGGTGTCATTTAGAGACGTGAAAGGGTTTCACTTGACGGCAGATTATCTGTCCTTAAATGGAGTGAAGAGCAATTTGTTTATCATGAATAGATGGAGGAAGAGATGACAGTGGGGGGGGGGGGGGGAAAGGTGGGGG